AAAGTGGGTGTCTGTGGCCATAAATTCATCGATCCCATAAACAAAATTCTTTCTGCGAAATACAAGGGAAAGTCAGAGCAGATGCATTTGTATAGAGATGAAACGATCTGCAGCTGTATGACTGAGTGTCAGGCCTTCTTTGGGTAAAAGGTATTTCTGGCTCTGCATTTATCAAGCCCATCAGCCTCATTTGGCTTTTATTGACTGAAACTTTTTCCTCGGCATTTTGAACCAGGAGAATCAGACACCCACAGAAGGGAGGTGGGATGCGGACTTCTCCTGTTCTTGGCTGGCTACAAATTTGGGAATCTATTTAAAGGGTTTATTTAATTTTTAAAAATTTCCACTGGAGCCTTTGTTTGGACTGTGTCTCTCTGTTCTGGCCTTATGTATCAGATCCTCAGAGGGATGGCTTGTCTCAGAAATAATGAGGGTTTACCCCACTGGTCTTAAGAATTGGGCAAGAGCACAAAGCTTAGTGGAAATAGTGGGGTTCACTCAGCCTGCAATTTTCAATTTTCGGCTAATGTGAGGGAGTAATAAAGTCCCGCCCAACTTGAAGGATCCCAGATCCAGCAACATGCTTGTACTTTGATGTGTTTGAAGGCAGAATGTTGGTTCACCTTGAAGCCTTTTTTTTTTTTTTTTTTTTTTGTTAGAGTACAGAATGCCTGAAGGCCAGGGAGAGAGAAATCTGTATTTAAAAAAGAAAACCAAAAATAATAAAACATAAACTTTAATTCCTTACTATTTTCAGACCCCCCCCCCCAAAAAAAGGGAATAATAACATACTTGGAGGAATGTTTTTCCATATCATGAAGTTCTACTTTGATTTCAATGGCCTTGCATTGGGATTTTCTGGGTAGTAACTAACATGGTGCTACCCATCTTCCTTTATGGAAAAAGAGTACCTGTCTTCATAAAGCTGAGCCTCCTCAGGGGCCACTTCCCTGTTTCCAAACTCAATCAGCTTATGGGCCCTAGAGAGGTCATGGAAGGAGCTGCCATGCTGGACCAACTAGTGATGTGCCTCTTCTAGGAGATGGGCACCCTTTGCCACAGCTCCTTGCAACCAGAGGACTGATTTATTGTGTTCTGACTCTCAGATTGGCCTTGACATATCAACAGATAATTTGACACTTGTTGGCTTTCTTCCACTCAGCCAATCATATAAGTGCATGTGACAGGATTTTGCTTGATTGCCTGAGCTACTTATTTTTATCAAAAGCTTATTTTTCTTTCTGTGAAAGTAGTGAAAAACCTGTTAAAAACCTTGAAGAGCATAAAGAAGTAATAAAACTATTCATAATTCTACCAGCTAGACATATTCACATAATACATTTCAACATATGTCCTCCCACTTTTGCTACCATCTTTTCTAAAAAACATAAGATTGTATTGTACACATAGTGTTATACCCTGATTCTTTATTTTATGATTATTAATTTATTTTATAATAGTTTATAACAAAATGATTTTCTCCTTTGAATATCCTCTCAACATGATAGGCAAGGAAGGTATTTCTATTTCATTTTATGGATATGAAAATGGAATTTCAGTGATGTTAAATTTATTCAACAAATATTTTTTCACTGCCTGCTGTGTTTTAAGCACTGTGCTGTAAAATGTACTGTCTGAGGTCATTCAGGTAAATGGTGGAAACACAGCTAGAACATAGGTCTGCTGACTCTTAAACTTATGCTAATTCCACACCAAGTTTCCATCTTCTTCCACAAATCTATTTCAGTTATATAATAAGTAGATCTTTAGGATAACATGTCACTCAAGGCAAGGTTGGAAACCCTGAGATGAGAATGAGCAAGGCAAAGTCTAGTTTGAAAGTGAGACTCGAGAGAGTTTAAAAAGACAGGATTTTGATCCCAGAGGACAGGGTGAGAAACCCAGATAGCACAGTTGGGTCACAATCTTAGGGCCAGAATGGAAAGCATTGGAGATCATTTCTATTGCAGCTTTGCATAAATGGTGATGACTGGCTGAGCTCATTATGAGCCGGGAGGCGTGTATCCTGCTAATGGAACAATAACGGTAACCTTGGCAGGGGATTATTGGACAGTCTCTGGACAACCCCACGACTCTCCTGCAAATAAAAACTATTCTAAAGTGAAAACTTTTTTTTAAATAAGGGTTTACCAGGCTCAGCTGAAGAGAAATGGCATTTCAGGCAAAAGAACTGGATACAGAGAGTCAGGAGGGAACATGACGCATATAAGAAAGGTTAGGGATTTGGGGGAGGATGGAGTGCACTGTGGCTATATAAACTGAAGTGAAGCTGAGAGTCAGGCTTGAGTTTGGAATAGGAAAGCCTCTCTTTTAGGGCAAGCTTAGAAGTGTTAAGATTTATCCTGTAGGAAATGAGAAGTCATTGGTACAATTTAATTAACACAGTTCATGTTTGAGTTTATTTATTAAAAAGGTATGTCTCAACATATTGGAGAAGAGCCATAAGAGAGGGTGGTTAAGGGCAGTCAATGGGGAGGCTGTTGCAATACTCTGGGACAGAGGTGCTGCTGCCCTGAACCAGACAGTGGGCTAGAAGCATAGGGTGGATGGACAAGCATCAAAAGGAAGAGACTTTCTTGGAGCTGAACTGAAATCCTAGAAGGACCTGGCTTCACCCCAAAAGCTTCTTCCAGCCTCTATTTCCTATTCTCATGACTAATTACAATCCCAGTATAAAGATAGGTAGAGCCTGGTTTATCAAGAACACACAGAGCCCCATTGTAGGCACTTTTAAAGCCAGGGCATTGCAGAGTCAAGATGTCCCTTCACTCCTGCCAGGAAGGTTCAGCAGCAGGTGTCAGAAATTCAAGCCCTGGTGCAAGGCAGAATATCCAGTTCCTGGAACAGATACATCATCATGAGGACAAGATTGCCTCCATTATGACACTGTAAGTCATTAAGGTGGTCAAATGGGCCTTTGTAATACCACCCAACCCAGGAGGTGCAACAGACCACACATCAGATGAAGTGGAGGAGATGCAGGCAGCCCAAATACACACCAGGAGGCCCTGAGTCCATGTAGGGGCATCCAAGGAAGGCAGGGAATCAATACCTTAACTCTTTTTGGCTGAGTTTGTTCTCTTCTCTTCAAGCAGCACTTTAATCCAGCTTGAGGAATTAAATCTGGCCTCAGTGCTGTTTTCTGAGACCCAATGAAGAAACAGCCATGAAGTTTCCTTCTCACTCTTCCAGTTACCAGAGTTTGGTATCTTTTATGTTCTTGAACAGGATACTGGGGAGATTTTAACTGTGTTCTTACAGCACTGCTCCTAAGTTAGTTAGTAGTGGCTGTGGGGATTTCCTCAAAGTACAGAACCATGCTCTTAACTAAATGACTCATTCATCACTGCCAAGCATCCTATTAATTTGGAAGGAGTGGGTCTTAGTTAGTATCATGTCCTAAGTGACAGCAGGAGTTTCCAGCTTCACTTTAAACTGGTAGTAGAACCACGTATTTCATTCTGATGTTCCTGCTCAAGGCCTCAGGGTTGTAGTATCTCCCAGGCAGATTGGTCCCACTGTTCTGGAACTGTGGCCTCATAGGTGAGGCTCAGTGTGCAATATCTTGCTGCAGATGTAAAGACTATGGGACATGCTGGGAGAGTAAAAGTGTCTTTAAATGGCACTATTGATGGCACCATTAGGGCCCCTGGTAGCACTTTCCCACAGAGGGGTCATTCTTCTTGGCTTCACTAGGGGTTTGTGTATTTTCCCTGACAGTCACTGTGCCACTGTGGCAGCCCGAATCTTTAACCCCTTGCTACTTCAATGGTGGCCTATGGATCATCGGCAGCAACACCTGGGAGCTTATTAGGCAGAAATAATCTTTGGCCCTGGAATCAGAAAGTGCATGCAAAAAGTCCATTGGTGTTTTGCGTGCCTGTCACAATTTGAGGATCACTGTTTTAGTCTGTAGTATGGTTCATGATCTTGGCTATGCATTAGAATCACCTGGAGAGCTAAAATATCCATGTCTAGTTCACCACAGATTAATTAAATCTGAATCCGTGGGGCCTGGCCTTCAGAATGTTTTAAAAGTCCTCTTAAGAGATCCTAACATGCAGCCAAGTTAGAGGCCCAGTGACCTGAAAGAGTAGGCATTGTCAACAAGGATCGCGGAGAAGCATTAATTTTCCACATGAGCAAGCCCTGAGATCCTGATTAAGTTGGCTTAAGATGGGGGCTAGTATCTTATGAATTAACAATTGAGAATCATTAATGAGATTAAAGTTTCATCATTGCTGCCCAGGCCCTGTGGGGATACAGGAAGGGGAAGCAGTCACAAAAACACCTGTTTCCTATTGTTTCTGAGCCAATTTGGGGTCTCTGCAACCACATGAGTGTGCCTGTTTGAGACACATCAGACTGTTGGATAGATCCTGTGGACTCAGGAGGGTACAGCAGATCGAGAGCATGTGTATTCTTGGCCTCTGTGTCCACATTAAGGAAAACAATGAAGTTTGCACTACAGTGGAGACAGGTGATGAGCTCTTGACCCTACTTGCAGTAGGCACCAGGAGGCAGGACAAGCTGTACACTTGGGTCTTTGTTACTTGCTTCACTTCTGAGCATCATCCTGTGCTAGCTGGTGGTGACAATGGCTGAACTCAAGGGCTATCTGGCCTCGGTGAGTCAAAGGAGTAATTAAAGAAAGAGGACACTCTGTGGGAGACACAGTGACATGGCATCAGTGAATGGACAGGACAAAACTGGACATGGATGTTCATTCCAGAAACAAGTGGTTACCCATTGGTTTCCCTTTAAAGGTGTGGCAAGTCCTCCATATCCAGATGGGCTAATGGAGAAGTGAAACTCTGTCCACTTTTGTCCTTTCTAAGGGTTTAAGATGGCCCTGGGTCTTTGAGAAACTCAGAGGGTGCAGTCCACCTACCTGCCTGATTCAGGATCCTGGTTTAAAAAGCAAATATCAACAGTGGGCACATGTGCTCTATCCCTCACACTCCCTTTTTCATTCACAGCTGGCAACGTGGGACTCAGAGAAGGGCCTGAATGGCAGTCTGCAAGAGAGGCCCATGGGCAGCCGCCTCCAAGGACTGACTCTCAAAGTGGTGACTGTCTTGGTAGGATCATGGGCCTATTGGGGAGGTTTTCTCTTCAGGCTTTTGAGGCAAGGCTTCTCTCTGTTGGATTTAATGCTGGGTTTGGAGAGAAGGAGATCTTAAGAAGTGGCTTGAGTTTTCATAAAACTTCATCCAAATTATTTTGTGAGTAAGGGAAGAGTACATTGGAGCTTCTGTTCCAAGAGCTCCTGTCTCAGAGGCCTTCCATGGGGGTCACTGAGCTTCTCCAGGGAAGGACCACTAAGCCAGATCCACTGCTGAGCACCAGAGCAGACACAGCTGCTCTAGCTCTTGGATGTAAACAGGATCTTGACCTTCTGGCAGTCCTTAGGAGATCTTTGCTGGCACCCATAGTGCTTAGAAAGATGCTGGGAGGAGGACATTTTCTCAGTACCCAACACCACCAATGGGCTCATGTGACACACAATTCATAATGAAGACTGTTTGTTGCAATTTTTCTGCACAGTTGTCCTGGAATCATATACTTTTACATCTTTAAGAGACATTAAGAACATCTTCCTTTCAATTTCTTTTTTAAATCTTTTTTAGAACTGTAGCTAGTCAGTTCTCTTATTAGCTGGTCAGACAAGGTCCAAATGTTCCCCTCTATCCTATCAGGCACTATGTCTCAGCCCTAGAAACCTTTGGTAGCAGTGTTCAGGCATTCCCTATATGCACACCACAAACAGTATAATATTCTGTTTCCTTCAAAAATATTAAATTAAGGAGCTACATTCTCTCTGGGCTGTTTGCCAAAAGGCTTATTCTTGTTCAGTTTTGCAGGGTTGTGGTGAGGAAGACTGAGGTATTTTCCAGATGGCCACATGCCCTACAGGAGCGCACATGACTGTGAACCTGGCATGGGTTTGGACTTGGGACTTGGGATTTAATCTTATCCTACCCTTTGACTTATGATATGATCATGGCCCATTAATCAGCGTCCACTCTTTAGTACAACCTGATGGATGCAATACTGTCTTCTCTCAATCTAATAGCATAGAACTTTTTTGTAATTTGTTATCTTGGAGAGAAATATCCACATTTCTTATGTGGGTCCTGAAGAATTATGGCATTTCCTAAGGACAGACTGCTGAATGTCACAAATGAAAGAATGAAAACAAACCATATTATCTGAGAGATGGGATTCTGGGAAGAGCCTGAGATAACATAACCTAGGACAAGTAAATCTAAATCTGTTCCTCCATTGACATGCTGGCTGGAGGGGTCTTCCTGTTACTGTACACTGAATGTCCATAAACTGCTTTAGGGAAAGGCAGAGAGGTTCAGACTCCAGGCCTAAATTGGGTAAATAAATACATGCATATGTCTGCAAACATTCTAAAGCTACAATTCATCAGATTGATCTCTTCAAGAATACCCTGGAAAGATGTTTATTAATTAAACTGTTATTTAATCGAAGACCATTCATTCTGTTGTCTTCAGGAAGAGCCTTTTGTGATGGTGGCTGAGAACATCCTTGGGCAGCCCAAGCGCTACAAAGGGTTCTCCATAGATGTCTTGGATGCACTAGCCAAGGCTCTGGGCTTTAAGTATGAGATTTACCAGGCCCCAGACGGCAGATATGGTCACCAGCTCCATAACACTTCCTGGAATGGGATGATCGGGGAGCTCATCAGCAAGGTAGGTCCTAGAACCATGTCTGTGGGGTGGGATACCTTATGCTGCCCCTGGGGTGATATCCAAATTTGGCTCATTGAGCAGTTGGAACCTTAGGACCAACTAAACAGACCACAGTTACCACTCTTCACACACTAAAGCCCTTTTTGTCTCAACACCTCTTCTCTCCACCATACCCATTTCTATTCTTTTATTTTTTCATTTCCTGGTGCTCTTTGTTTTTATTCTGTGCCCATTGCTCTCATTCCTTTAAAGACCATCCACTGTGGTCTGCAACATACCCTTCATGAAACCCACCCCCACATTTGGGCTGAAATAGGAACCTAGTTCTCACAGGACAGGTACTAGTGAGTGCCTATTCTCTCCCATGTGGCCCATTACTGGGGTGTATGTGCATGTGCGCGTGTGTGTGAATGGGTGTGTGTGTATCTGCATTGCTTACATTGCTGTATACAGGTGATACAGCATTCCTCAACTCCTCATACTAATTTAGAATCAATACCCTTCCTCCATTCTGTAGAACCTGAGTCTTCACTGAGACCCATGACATGAGGCCAATTCACTCTATTCCCATTCTTGTCCCTGTCACCCATGACCTCTTGGTAATTCCTCACAATCATTGATGATGGTGGCATCTGACTGAAGCCATCCCTCTCCATGGTTACTGTCACCACCAACCTTTATGTTTTTGACTGCCTTAGACAACTGGGATAACAGTGTTTTGAATTTCTCACCTCCAGTGACCTTTGCTTATTCTTCACTCCAGCATCCACATTCAATGCATCTTGTTAGCACCTTACATGTTGTTGTCACTGCCCTGTTTTATGATCACAACCTGTTGTACTTCAGAGTCTTTGGGCCTTTGCTCCTAAAACACAGCTCTTTTGATTTATAAATCCATAAAGACAGAGCAGAGGCCCACAGCTCTCCAATTTTTCCCAGGCTTTTTAAAAAAACCTTATCATAGTACAATTTATATGCTATAAAATCCCCCCATTTCAGTTCAATGATTTTTAGAAAATCTACTGAGTTGTGTAACCATCTCCATAATATAGTTTTAGAATACCTCCATCACGCCAATGAGATCCCCTATACTCATTTACAACTAATCCCATTCTCAACCCCCAGCACTCGGCATTCATCAATTTACTTTCGATCTCTATAGATTTTCTTTTATGAACATTCAATGTAAATCGAATCACATAATATTTGTGGTCTTTTGTTTCTGACCCTTTCCACTTAGCATTTGGATTTGAGGTTCATCCTCCTCTAAGGTTTCTAAGCCATTCTTATACTTCATCCTTTCCTGCTTGGTGTTCCCTCTGTGATTGACCAGACAAACCCCTGTGAATTCCCTTCATTCTTTGTGATTCTCCATATTTTTTATTTCTTTAAAATTTTTTTTATTGTTGTTCAGTTACAGTCATCCCCATTACCCCACCCCCATTACTCTCCTGAGTGGCTCAAACAACTGTGGTATACTTACACATTTTTGATTTCTTCTTGCACCCAAACTGTGACTAGATTCTATTATCTATCCTATGACTCAGACATTCAGGTTGTGGCTCCTACCTCAGCTGGGCCTTCAAGACAGCCTGAGTTCCATGACTTGTTCTTTGTTGGGTCCTTTGGCAACATTTCTTAGGGAATGTTTCAAAAGATTGGCTTTCTCCTCAAGCAACCTAACAAACTATCCTCAATTAAAAAAAAAAAGATTATGCTCTTACGTTATGGAAAGAAGAGAAGACTTTGGGGCATGACATTCTGCTTCAATGTCCTATGAAATTCACATCTGCAGATATGGGCCCTAATCTCCAGTTTAGTGGGGGGAGTGTTTTTCCTTCTGCTACAGGTCACCTCTGCACCTGTCAATTCCCTTGTGTCTCCTCTAGACTTGGCTTCATATAGTTTCCCTTCATCCTATATTGTAAACCTACCCTGCTCCACTAGACCTCTTTCTCAGTATTTAACTATCTCCAAATTCTATATATCCTAAAACAAACAAACAAAACTCCTGGATCTTGGGTTTGTGCTAACAGAAGCAAAGGCAAAGGCTAGAGATGCAAATGTGACAAATGTAAGAGGAGAGCTCCAACATCATCACCTCCAACATTCTTTTCTTTTCTCTAGACATGTTGTTGGATTCCAATTTAGGACGTCAGTATATCTGCCCATCTAGGCCACATATTAAACCTGATAAAATCTTTCTATATATGCTTCCCCAATTTGAATATGTAGGTTAGATCTGTTGTTATAATTAATCATTTTAAACTGAACCTAGTTATGAGGATGCCTCCTACTTCAAGGCCCAACAGCCAACATCAAGATGATCACTATACATTTTAGTGCTCTTGTGGTTGAGGGGGTACTTTAGCCCATGATTGCCTGTCAACATTCATCTAGGCATAGGGATCCTAACCTCCACCAGTCTTGGCAGCTTTATCTCTTAGTCTACTTCGATCTTAATGGAATCTTTTATTATCCTTAAAATTAAGCCTATCTTAGAAAGAAAAGTCTTGGCAGGTACATTTAAGGTCACAGCACAACATGTCCATAGAGCCCCTTCACAACATGGCATTACTATATGAAGAATCAACCATGTGTCTATAGGCCATGCGTTAAGGGAGGTAGAAGAACAAAAGAAGCAGAGGACCCCTTTTTTCTTGGTAGATGTTATTCTCTGACATAGAGTCTGCATATAAAACAATCAGGGACTGATACATTAATGAGGTTCAAGGAAGTTGTAAAACTCACCATACAACTTTCCAAGTGTTTTAGAAAAGAAAGACATTAGTGTATGCTAATGGAGTTTGGGGAGGCTTGATTGAAAAATAAGAGTGTCTCTGTGGCCTTGAACAATAAGGAGGATGCAGATATGCCTAGAAGAAGATAAAAGGGGCTTCTTGGTGTGTTTTGGTGGTAGTGGTGTCAGAGGGAAATACCAGCATAATACTGGAAATAGCCAAAGTGTGCTAGGGGGAACAGTAAGGAAGTGAAGAAAAAAACTACAAATTATACAGGAATGAAGAAGCTTTAAAGACTTTTTTCTCCAGAAGAGGTTTCCAGGAGTTTTGAGTGTTTGGCAGGGAGATTTGCAAGGTAAAAGAGGTAATAACAGACAACTTAGTGTTGGATTTGCCTTAAAATATTCAACTCAAAAATCCCATTTGCTCTGAACAGAACAACTCAAAAGGGCAGAGGGCAGATCTTGACTCAGAGTGCAGTTAGCTGAGGACTGATGTCTGATGAGATGTTTCCACCTTTCAGAGAGCAGACTTGGCCATCTCCGCCATCACCATCACCCCAGAGAGGGAGAGTGTCGTGGACTTCAGCAAGCGATACATGGACTACTCAGTGGGGATCTTAATCAAGAAGCCTGAGGAGAAAATCAGCATCTTCTCTCTTTTTGCTCCATTTGATTTTGCTGTCTGGGCCTGCATTGCAGCAGCCATCCCTGTGGTTGGTGTGCTGATATTTGTGTTGAACCGGATACAGGCTGTGAGGACTCAGAATGCTGCCCAGCCCCGGCCATCTGCATCTGCCACTTTACACAGTGCCATTTGGATTGTCTATGGGGCCTTCGTACAGCAAGGTACCTCCCTCGTTTCCTGATAGAGTAGCCCCAGGAGCCTGGGAGAATTTATCCACTGGCAAATTTCTTAGATGTGTGTTGCCAAAGTCATTTTAAATGCAATTTTATTTAATCTCTAGGACGGTACTGGAATTATGCTGCACCCAATTTCTCTGAGTAACATCAAATAAAAATAAATGAAATGATAACAAGGAACTTCAAATCCTGATTCTCCACTTCAGATAAAATTAACTTTGGAGTTCTGCTTGGCACTTTCTTCCCCTCCCACATTAGATTGATTGCTATGCACAGGGGGTTGTGAAATGAAACTGAATCTTGCTTAAATTGGAAGTCTTCACAGGAAAAACATTACAATTGTTTTTCCAATCATCTAAGCAGTACTCCAACCACTCTTGAGGTACGATGTCTCCTATCTCTGATAAGTCAAGGAAATGCCTGCAGAGTTACAGGATTGTGCAATTTTGACCAGTAACAACAAATTGGGTTCTGAATATGAGTCTTGGCCCCTTTTGAACCATGGAAGACGTATATCATTGGTTTACGAGGTTATATAAGAATAGTCAGTAAGAAGCTTTTTTTTTTTTCTTCTGCTACCACATAAGGGACCAAGGAGGAAAAAACTGACCTCAAAGAGGTAGCTTCTGCTGGAAAGTCATATGCAGTAATTTCTGAAAATCCTAGGGAAGAACGTTATCTAGTGAGGGCTGAATATTAATAAATTATTTCATATATCTTATTTCTGAGGCTTAAAAGAAAGCTAAGGAGCCCTCTGGGAAGAAGGTAATTCTATATGTATAGAATTCTTGAGACTACTCTGTGGAAGTTGAAATTGGAAAGGGACCTTATATCAACTAGGTTGTGGCATGGAAGTTCTCAACACAGTGAGGTAGAGTTTCCTCACTAGAAGATTTTGATATTAGAACTTTATCCTTGGTGTTTTGACAAATATCACATCAGTAAAAGACCAATCCTGGCTTTTCCATATTTTATGTTCTCCATCCCTTTCCAAGATTGGTGGTCTTAGGGTTCTTTCCCAGAATTGCCACTGCCCCTGATAAGAAGCTGGCATCACTTTGCTGCTCCCCAGCCCATCACCAGTGGAGGCTCTCTATGCCCAGAGCACCTCTGTGGGGAGGGGAATGAGAGTGGAAGCCCAGGGCCAATCTACTTTGCCTGCCTCCCACAGGTGGTGAATCCTCAGTGAACTCCATGGCCATGCGCATTGTAATGGGAAGCTGGTGGCTCTTCACCCTCATTGTGTGCTCCTCCTACACGGCCAATCTTGCTGCCTTCCTCACAGTGTCCAGGATGGACAATCCCATAAGGTAAGACTATTTTTCCTTCCAGAGCTGGGGCCATTCAGCTGTGAGATGCTGTAAAGAGACGATGCTAACTTGGTGCCACAGAGGTAGAGAAGCTCTTATTTAATGCATGAAGAGCTTCGTTCCTGTTGTATTTTATTTCATGCCCAATTAAATAAATGTATAAATTCATTAAATAATATTTCTCTAAACATTTAAATGCTTCTTAGACTAATAAATCAAAACACTGAAAATTAACAAGTTGAATTTTCTCAGACATTTAAACATTTAATCAATTTTTCTAAACATTCATTTAAAATTAATTAAAACCATAAGTCTAATATATTTATCAAACCTCAAACACCTCAAAATTTTAAGATATACTAATTGTTTCAGTGATTAGAAAACTTATTTAACTTATATTTATAAAATTATAAAAATATTGAAACCAAGGACTAAAAATGTTTCTTCATTTTACCAAAATGTTAAAAATATGGAAATGCCTTTGTTTTGTGATCAGATTTCCACCTGTTCAAATTACCAAAGAACTTGGACAAAGTGAATGTATGTTGGACATGTGTTTGCTGAAGTGACCACAGGCACAGATCTGTCCTATGCTTCCAAGGGTACAGCATCTGTTTCCGGATCACCTCTTACTTGATCCCTCATTATGGTTTTCTGTGTCCCTGCCTAAAGTAATTTCTCCTTTAATTCATCATACGCATTATCATTGCATGGATTCTTTTGATCCACAGCACTAATCAAGTCATTCATCCTCAACCAGCTTCTATGGCTCCCAACTGCCTATTTAAAAAAAAATTATTATTGCATTTATGGAGTGACATTGGTTAATAAAATTATATAAGTTTCAAGATGAATTTCACCTGTGTATGTATTGTGTATTCACCACCCAAAGTCAAGTCTCCTTCTGTCACCATTTATCCAACTGCCTTGTTTATAAGCATTCAGACTCCTTGTGTAGGATTCAAAATTCAATATGATATCTAGGTTTTTTAATTGACATTTTTATGGAGATGATTATAGATTTATATGTGGTTGTAGAAATACTGCAGAGAGATCTCATTCTTTAATCAGTTTCCTTCAATGGTAACATTGTATTGACATGAATACAATTGATTCTGTTTGGAGTTCTCTTGTATTCACTTCTGTATTGTGTGTGTGTGTGTGTGTGTGTGTGTGTGTTTGTGCACACATTTGGTTTTATACAATCTTGTCACATTTGTAGGTTTGTGTATCTATCATCACAGCAAAGATCTAAACAATTTTATCCCTATAAGGATACCTTGTGTCATCCTTTTATAATCACACCCCTCTCCTTTAAACTTCTTCCCTCCAGTTCTCTTTTTAACCCCTAGAACTGCTAGTGTGTTCTCTATTTCTAAAATTTTGTCATTTCAAATATGTTATATAAATGAAATCATAACTTTTGGGCTTGGCTTCTTCATTTAGCATAATTATCTGGAGATTCATTACGTTGTTGTGTATATTAATAGTCGATTGCTTTTTGTTTCTCAGTAGTGCCTGGTGTATACCATTTTCTTTAATGATTCACCTATTGACGGACATCTGGGTAGTTGTCAGTTTCTGGCAATTATGAATAAAGCCACTGAGAACATTTGTTTTTATTCATATCCAAAGGTGCAATTGCTGGGTTGTACGGTAACTGCATGCTATGTTTTATAAGAAACTGTCAAACTACTTCCTATAGTAATTACCATTTTACGTTACTACTAGTGATGTAGGAATGACCCAATTTCTTTGTATCTTTGCTGGCATTTAGTGTTGTCATTTTTTGTATTTTACCATTCTGATAGAAATGGAGTGATATCTCATGATATTTTAATTTACATTTCCCTAATGACTAATTATGCTGAACACCTTTACAGGTGCTTATTGCTATCTGTATATCCTCTTTGGTAAAATATCTCTTTATGTATATTACCCATTTTCTGAATGGATTGTTTGATTATTACTGTTGAGTTTTGAAAGTTCTTTATATAAATACCAGTCCTTTGAAAATATTTCCTATTTCTCTGTAGTTTGTCTTTTCAAACCCTTAACAAGGTCTTTCACAGATAAAAGTTTTTAATTCTTATGAGGTCTAGTTTATGAATTTATTATTTTGTGGGTCATGAGTTTGGTGTCAAGTCTGACTCTTTGCCTAGCCCTGAACCCTGAAGATAATCTCCTGTTTTGGGATTCATTTACACTAAAGGTTTTGTAGTTTTACATTTTATATTTCAGTCTACAATCAATTTTGAGTTAATTTTTGTATAAGATTTAGGTTGAGTTCTATTTATTAATTTATTTTTTGTCTATGGATACCCAATTGATCTAGCACTGTTTATTAAAAAAGATACCTTCCTTTATTTAGGAATTTGTTAGAAATCAGTTGGGCATATTAGTGTGGGTCTATTTCTAAGTTCATTGTTTAGTTCCATTGATTTATGTGCCTATCCCTTTGCCAATACAACACTTCTTGAATGCTGTAGCTAATAGTAAGGCTTAATATTGGCCAGAGTAATTCCTCTCACTTTATTCTTTTTTGTTAAGATTGTTTTAACTATTCTAGGGCCTGCATCTTTCCATGTAAATTTTGGAATAAGCTTGCCTACATCTATAAAAAAACTTTTCTGTGGTTTCAACAGGAATTTCATTAATTCAGTTGTAATTGCATTAAACCAATAGGTTATAACTTGGTAAGAATATATACTATGAATGAGTATTGAATTTTGTCAAATGCCTTTTGCATGTTGATTGACATGATCAGATATTCTTCTTAAGCTTATAAACACAGTAGATTACATTGTTTTTTAGATATTGTACACATTGAATGAATCTAATGTGGACATGGTTTATAATTCTCTTCATTTGTTGGATTTTGCTGATATTCTGGTTGAGGATTTTCAGTTCTAAATTCATTAGAAATATTAGTTTATACTTTTATTTTTGTGCTGTTTTTGGTTGGTTTTGATATCAAGATAATACTGTATACAGCTATTTCCCTTTCAGAATCAAGAGTGAAACCATAAAGTTATATTTCTTCCTATGTAAGATGATACTAAAATAGCTTAATTTCCTTCTCTCTTTCCACTTAACAATTTTTTTTGTTGATAGAATCTAAGATTTTAGACCGAATTTACTATGGTCCTTTCTTTTCTTCATATTAAATTTTTTATGGTTTCTCTAAGATATATATATTTGGCATTTTCATTCTTTTGTTTTATCTCATCCATGTAGTCATTACTTGGATTGAATTCTATGTTCCAGTGGTTTCAATGCTTGCTGACTGTCTCTTTATTCAGTGATTTAGCCATTAGTCATATCTTTATTTTGCTTAATTTTTGTCCAGTTAGAGTAGCCCTTTGAGCAATATATTTTAGCAAGAGTGATATATTTTCTATGATAACACATCTGAGAATGTTTTTCTGTTGCATATATACATGAATGAAACTTATCTGGGTATATATTTTTGTGTCATAATTTTCCCCCTAATATTGCATAGAATTTACACCATTGCCTGAATTCCATAGAATTTGTTCCATTGCTCCGTCTATATGTAATGCCATAGAGAATCATGAGAATGTTCCATTCACCTCCTCTTTCCTTTCCTTTCATTTCCACTAATTACTTTATCTTCCCTCTTTTTCTCCATCTCCTTTCTATCCTTCCTTTCCCCCCTTCTCCACCTTCCCTTCCCTAACTCTTCTTCTCTTCCTCCTCTCCCCCCTTCTCTTTCTTCTTTCTCATACTCTTTTTTTAAGTTTTTTTTTTAATTTATTTTTTCAAATACATTTGTCTCTGCCTACCCCCCACCACTTTCCCTTGCCCCCTCCCTCCTTCCCTCCCTCAGCTCTTCCCCTTTGGTTTTGTCCATGAGTCCTTGCTTTATGTTCCTTGACTTTCCCCTTCCCTTTCTTCCCCCCCCCCCCTTCCCTCTTGTCTCTGTTGATTTCTTTTCCTTTCAGTGTTGCTGGTCTTATTTTCCTTGAATCTTTGTATTGTTGGTTAGGTTCCACTTATAGGTGAGATCATATGGTATTTGTCTTTCTCCCCCTGGCTTATTTTGCTTAGCATGATGCTCTCCAGTTCCATCCATCATGCTCTTTTTTCATCTGTTTTATTCCCTGTCCCCCTTTCCCTCCTCCCCGCTCCATTCTCTTGTCTCATCTCCTTCTTCACCTCCTCACTTCCCCTTTTTCTCCTTCTTCTCCTCCCTCTTTTCTTTCTCCTCTCCCTCTTCTCTGCCCTTCCTCTTCTTCCTCCTGCATGTCTTCCTCTTCTCATTTTTCAGTTTTTCCATGTCTTCCATTTCATCTTTCTCCTTCCCCCTTCTTTTCCACTTCTTCCTCCTTAGGATTCTTTTTCTCCTTTTTTCTATTATCCTCTTTCTTTTCCTTTTCCTCCTCTACTTCTGCTCTTTTCATGTGCTTTCTTCTTTGTAGTTAACCTTACTAACATCCTTTAATTTTAAAACATCCATCAATATTTAATAAAGAGTCAACTTACTTGTTATTAATTATGCTTGGAATTCCATGATTCCTATTTATATGCAAAAAGAAACTTGAACTTTAGCTCAATAATTTTGTCATCTATTAAATCTTTCCTATCTACTTTATCTTTCCCATTTATCTTTGTCTTGTTTCCAGGGTCATTATTATTTTTTATTTGTTTTTGCTGTGAGTTCTCCCTATCTTTTGTATTCTCTTTGATCAACTCTTCCTCCAACTCTGTTAGTATTTCTTTTATTTCTTAGCTACTGTTTATGGCAAGAGTCCTTACTATAATGAATTATAGAGAAACAAATATTTTAAAAATTTTACTTCATTTTCTCAGCATATATTTTTCTAACTATGTTTTTAGAATCTTTAATGAAATATAATATATATTTATACATTATTTTAAATGTTGCATCTCTTTTTTTGCCTTCACACTGTTCTTTTTGATATTTAGTTTGCTTTTCCTTCAGTATAAACCCTTTCATAAACAGATAGATAGGGTCT